TTTATTTATTTTTGGGACAGAGAGAGACAGAGCATGAACGGGGGAGGGGCAGAGAGAGAGGGAGACACAGAATCGGAAACAGGCTCCAGGCTCTGAGCCATCAGCCCAGAGCCCGACGTGGGGCTCGAACTCCCGAACCGCGAGATCGTGACCTGGCTGAAGTCGGACGCTTAACCGACTGCGCCACCCAGGCGCCCCGTGGCTTTTCTACTTCAGTTGCGTGTATGGCATTGATCTGAAAGTACCTGGAAAGAAGTGACCTTGGCATTCACCCTTTGCTAGTCTTGCTATGATGGGTCCACACACTGATTAAGATAAAGGGCGGGACGTTAAAGTAAGCCTCACACACGAAGCAAAAAACAAAAACAAAAACAAAAACAAAGAAACCCACGCCTGGATTTTAGAGAGACAAACACCAACAAAAACCCTCAAACGGTGTCCAAGTGGCAGAGCTCGTGGATGTTTTCTAAAAACGACAGCCGAACAGGTGGTGCAGACACTGGGTAGAGGCCACCCTGGAAGTGCTCCCATCACCGGTATCCCCACTCTCCAACCCCAATAAAAGCTAAGACCGGTTAAGCCCTTAGACCAAAGGGCCACGTCTACTCGAATACAAAGATCGGCTACCACCTCCGGTAAGGCAAACCACACCTAAAGCACAGCGACAGGAATGTTTCTGACTTTGCTCAACTGTAAATGACCCTGAAGGAAAGCACAAAACAGCAAGACAATTTATATACACGTAGAGTCATAGCATCTTTTCATCATGCAATACTGGCTCCCCACATCGGATTAAATAGAATAGTCACGCATATCGTCTATACACGTCTTCTCCTCCCTCCATGAATACACGTGTGCTCGACCTTGCCCAGGTCTCCAAGGCCACACGTGGTCACGGGCTACACTTGCTGCGTAAGAGTCCAGTTTGGATCTGCTTCTTGCTTCGGACACGTTCTGGGTCTTCTCTCAATTTTTCCGGATGTCCGCATACACCACAGACTCTGACTTGTTAATCTTGTCACTGTGATGTCCGCCAGAGTGGTCTAACTGCGCATATATGACTGGGCCCTGGAGAAGAGAAGGACAGCTATTAGGGATCTGGGGAAACGGGCGGTCCCTTCGAGGGCAGGTGCAGAAGCAATCATTAGAGTGCTAACATTAGGGTTCCAGAGTAAAGGGTTCCTTCTTCGGAAGGTCTTCCAGAAGATCTCTTAGGAGCAGGATGTCTAGGACTGACTTTATCACCAAGGCTGGGCTGCTCCGGTAACAGTTAATGATGGTGCCCAGAGGTGTTACCTTACTCTGCGCGGCTGTGTATCTGTTTGGGAGTTTCTATACAATGCAATATTCCTCCTCAGGAATTGCCCGTATCTTAGTCCCGGTCACAGGGCTCCTCAACCCTTGGAACTGGGATCCGAGGACGAAGATGGGGACTTGTACCAACCTGAGACCCACGGACGTGGTGAGCCTCAGAATGATGCACGTAGGAAACCAGTGTGTTGGATGCCAGCAAAGTCACGAACGATTTGAACTGGTCGCTTTGTACAAATAGGTGCTTAGAGACACTTCAAATATTCTCCCATGTACATACCTACCGTATAATCCTTTTAGTCTGATCCTATCATAACCAATAAAGGTACTGCTTCTTTAATATTTAAGAGCAGGTAACTATTTTTCCTATTTCAAAATAAAAAACCAAGAAGCTACGATGCAAAGAAAACCCTGCATGGACGAGTGTAGAAGAGGTCCTCCCCTCGGCCTCAGCAGGGAGGAAGGGGGCTGCAGGGTCCCAGCGGGGGCAGCCAGGGGAGGTGGGCTGCG